CTTTACACTGGACACCCGAATGGCTTCTGCTGCCTTCTTTCAACTCCTCCTCTTTCCAACTCTCCTGATCTCCCTGGGCTGGTTACCTGGGGTCCGGTGGGCATCACCAAGTGTGGCAGCCATGGGCTCCCCTCTGAGGGTGCTCACATCAGGGGAGAGGGGCAGACCAAAACACAGGTGAAGGTGAGGCCGCATGACAGCCGCTGGGACAGGGCCTGCGCAGGGGCTGCGGAGTTGGCCAGGGATGGCTTCTGGAGGAGGCGAAATGAAGCTCCAAGGGTGTTCTCCATTGTTCACTTCTCAGCACGCATGTCTGCTCTTCAGAGAGGCCTTCTCTGGCCTTGCTGCCGGAGGTTCCCCACCATGCTGCTGTCCGTTACAGCTCCTTATTTAATTTCCTCCTGAACACTATCCCCATATGAAAGTAGGGGGGATACTTTCATATGGGGATAGTGTTCAACTCTTCATTCAGCAAAAATGGTTTACCCAGTGCAAGGCTCCCAGAAGCATCAAACACTTTAGGACTAAAAGCTTTCCCTATAGTGTGTTGTTAAAGTTTTCTTATAAACACAAATAAAGAAAATAAAAGAATCAAACACAAATGAGAAGATTCCACAATCCCATCCCCAGGGTCTAGTCAATGGAGACTATCTTAAACGTGATGTCCTTTCTTGATCGGTGGCAGCACCAAGTGGTGGCCATGGCCTCCCCCTGACTGAATTTTACAAATGTGTAAACAGCACTCACTATGTTCCTGGTGGTGTGCTAAGTACTTAACATGAAGCATCTCAAACCTCACAACAACCACAGGAGGTACAAACCATTACTGTCATCAGTTTACAGATAAACTGAGGCAAGGTGGGATTTAAGTAACTTTCCCAAGGTCACGGACATAATACAGGGTGGAGCCAGAATTTGAAGCCCTCTAGGGCTCTCATTGATAGCGCATCTAGTAGGTAGCAGGGCTCGATGCATGTTAGTTATTGTTATTGCAGCCCCTGAGATCTAAGCAGCCTCTCCCTCTGTGTCCAGCAGGGGGCGCCAAAGCTCCTCTTTGACTGTGCACCTGCCCAGGTATGCTTGGTTTGGCTGAATGGAAAAGCACCTGCTGAATAGAGATGCCCTCTCTTCCCTTGATCCAGGCACAGGGAGCCAAACAGGGAGAAAGATTCTGGGTTCACACGACTCTCAAAGAAGAACTTTCTGCAGTGGGTGCCATTCGGTCATGTAACATTTACTCACACTAGGTTCCAGGTCTTGGAATGAATCAAGATACAGTTCTATCCTTGGGGGAGCTCCCAGTCAAGGGAAGGATTAAATGCCCTGAGAATTATTAGCCCTGGAGAAATTCCAACAAGTTAAAAAACTGTCTTGGATCATGAAGCTATTAAGCGGCAGAGCTGGGATTCAGACTGACTTATTTGACTCCAAAGTCTATGTTCTTTTTACCAAACCATGGTGCTCAGTTGATGAAAGCCCTGTGGTGGGTGCCGGAGATAGAGATAAAGGAGACAGCCTGTTTCCCACGAGGAGGTTATGTTCTACTGGAAGAGGGAGGGAGTGATCCCAGACATCATTCAGGGTGGGAAGGGTTCTGCCAAGATCAGCTCAGGGGCGTTGGGAGCATGAAGGAAGAGAGGTATTGAAATGTCCTCCCCTCAAAGATCACGTGCCCGTGTTCAGACCTGTACCACCATGTCTGGCACAGGGCCTGGCGCACTTTAATACTCAAGGAATGTGTGATGCATGAATGACTGAGGAAGAGACTAAGTGCTTAGGACAGAAGCAACATTGATCAAGGAAGGATTTTCAGAGGAGTCGATACTTGGGTAGGGCTTAGAGGATGAAGTAGGAGTTTACCAGGTGGAAAAGAGGGCTAAAGGCATTCTAGGCAGATGCAAAGAAATGACAGGTTGCAGTAGTGGTCTCTCATCATTTTAAAAAAATCACAACATACAATGGACATACATACACATCCAAAATACATACACATACACAGAGTTGGAACCTTATAATGTACAATGTCCTCTGATATTTTCTGGTCTATTGCCTTTTTGTAAATGCTAGTGGGAACTACTCATTTGTTGTGATATGGGCACAGGAGTTTGGGAAATGTGGAGGCCGTGAGGGTAATTTGGAGCCAGACTGTAAAGCTCTTTGAGGCTGGGGTGATGGTATTGGACCCTTTTCAGCCCTGGCCTCCCCTGCCTTCTCTGTGAAGTCTGACACTGCAAACTCCTTTCTTCTTCTCACTCTCTGATTAACTCCCTGCCTCTCAGGCTCATCTTCATCAGTCACATTTAGTGGCTCCATTTCCCCAGCTGGTTATTTAAATCATGCTGAGTTCCTGGGGCCTTGCAAGGGGCTTTCCCCACTCATCCTTCTCCGCCTGCCAGGGCGTCCTGGCCACCTTGGTTTGAATGCCTGCCCGCTCCTGCCAGTGGCAACCCCAGTCACTCTCCACAGCCCCAACTCTCCCTCCTGTGCACCAGGCACACGCATTTAGCCACCCCTTCAGTGACCTACAGACACCTCAAACTCAGCTTGTCCAAAACCAAGTTCAACTCCCTGAGAACTCCTCCCTGGGTCCCTTTACTGTGCTGTCTTCACCAGCCACATTCTCTCACAGGACAGGATGCTCTCCTCAAGGCCGTCCCCATCCTACCTATTCTGCCTTCAAACTAGCTCTCAGCTCCATCCCCTCCTCTCCTCGCCATCTGCTCCCACCTTGACCAGCCCGGGCCTTTTCCCCCTGCATGATTGTTGAGACCTCCTGACTTACCCTCATTTCGGCCCTCTTCTGTTGGTTCCTGCGCAGCCACCATGAGCCTTCTGAGGTGTAAGTCTGATCATGTGGCATCTGCTTCCCTTTATGATAAGGACCACATTTCTTAACATGTCGTGCGTCCCCAGACTGCCTGTCGGGCCTTTTCCCTGCAAATCTCCCCATACCCCCATTCCCTCTGATGCCCCATTCTCCAGGCACCTTGGACCGCCATGACCAGTGTCATCTGGGGGTGCCTTCACCCACATGTCTGGCACCCAGGCTGGGTGACTCCAGGGCAGAACTCACCGGGGACTGTGGACTGGAGCATTCGCACAGGGCCCCTACTATGCCTGGGCTTGCTCGCAGCACGGCAGCCTGTGGCTTCTTCCACGGTGGCTCAGGGCCCCAGCACAAGTGTCCAGCCAACGAAAGGCAGGCTGCATGGCTGCATTGTCTTTTATCCCTGAGACTTGCTATGTGTGCACATCACTTCTGCCGCGCCTTATTGGTGGAAACTAACACAAGCCCATCCACACACATTCAAGCAGGGATGACACAGAGAACCCACCTCTCAAGGTGGGGAGTGTCAGATAATGTTGTCGCCATGTTCTAAATGCACCACCCTAACCCACACCACAAATATCTTGCACCTGGACCGGAGTCGTGGTCTTCTCTCTGCTCTGCCTGGCTGCACTGTGCTCAGCCCTCCCATCCCCCTAGCGGGTTCTCCGCAGGACAGCCAAAGGGAGCTTTTGAATGCACAAAGCAGATAAGTCACCCGCTTCTTCATCCCCCCAATGTCTTCCCAGTAAACGTACCCCTGAAATCCAAAGTCCTTGATGTGCCACACAGCGTTACAGGATCTGCGTACCCCACCTCCCACCTTCCCTCCTGGCCTTCTTTCTCTTTCTTGAGTACAGCCCATCATCCCCTCCCTTGGGTTCATGCCCACCTCTGAGCTTTTGCACTTGCTGTTCCTTCTTCCGAGAATGCTGGGTCCCCAGATTCTGTATCTTTCAGGTCTCAGCTCAAATGCCACTTCCTCAGATCCAAAATAAACTCCAGCACCCAGTATTCCCTCTCTCAGCACCCACCTTTCCGATCTTCACTTGAGCCCATGCTACCTGAAATCATGCGTTTGTTTACTGATGGTCTGTCTGCCTCCTTGGCTCTAGGAGGAGGAACTCTGGCCTTTCTTGTTCTTTGTGTCCACAGTGCCCACCATGGTGCCTGGCACAGATATGTGTGCAATGTAAATGCATGAAATACACAGTGACTTTCAGGGAAGTGCATGCGCGTGTGTGTGTTTGTGTGTGTAATTTAGAAAGGCAGTCTTTGAAGGGCAGGTGGGGTAGGGGGAGGTTACTAGAGTTGGGCACACCTTGTTTCTGTTGTGGCTCTACCGCTCACTAGCCGGCGACTTTGGGGAAACGCCTTCATCTCCTGGAGACTCCATTTCTTCAGCCGAACCTTGAGTCCGATGTCCCCTGGCTCAGTGGACTGGGTGTCCATCGAAGGAAGAGGTCAGCACCCTGATCAGCCAGGATGCTGAGCCCTCTGTCCCCGAGAGGGAGGCCGAGCTGCATCACCCGCCGCGCCCGCCTGGTGTCGCAGCGAGCGCGCTTGGAGAGGCCGGCTGCGCCCCGCAGGTTCGGGCGCTCGGACGCCACTGGGCTGTGCTGTGCCGGGCCGCCGGGCCTCGGCCCACTCTGTCTGTCGGCTGACAGCGGGACCCCACAGGAGGCTGCCCGCACCCTCCAATCGATAGGGGCGGGGAAGGAAGAGGCTGAGCCAGTTACACCCGCTCGGCCAGTAGCGCCGCAGAAGGGGGCGCCCTCCCCTGAAACTGGACTCGGAAGCCGGGGCAAAGGGGACCCAGGGTGCGCCCTGCCACCCCCAGCTCCCTGATCCGGACGGGGGGCGGGCCCTCAGGCCAAGGCCGGAGGGCTCTCGGCCCAGTCTGATCCCCTCCGCCCGAGGGCAGGGTCTGGACGCCCGCTCGCCCCGCAACCTTCCAGTTAGTGACGTAGGGTGCGAGCGGTCTCCCACCTACCCCCAACCGGCACTGCGCCCCGCCTCCCGGAGCAGGGAGGGGGCCCGTGGGAGTGCACGGAGAGAGGCGCGAGCGCGCGCCCTGGGACTGCGGCCCTGTCCCGCGGGCGCGGGGACAGGGGGCGGGCGCTCCAGGGAGGGAGCGGGGGAGGGGGAGGCGACGGACGGGGGAGAGGAGGGAGGGGCGGGGGCGGGAGGCAGCAGTGCCCCCGCACTCCCCGCGTCTCGCACACTTGCACCGGTAACCAGCGCGCAGCCCAGCGTCGCCCCGCGCCGCGCTCGCTCCTCCCTCCCTCCTCCGGCTGCGTGGCTCCCGCGCTCCTGGCGAGGCTCAGGCGCCGAGCGCTCGGACGGGCGCACGGACAGACCGCCGCGGGGACGCCTCGGCCCGCGCCTCCGGGGCGGGCTATGTTGATTGCCCCGCCGGGGCCGGCCCGCGGGATCAGCACAGCCCGGCCCGCGGCCCCGGCGGCCAGCGGGGACTATGAACCGGAAAGCGCGGCGCTGCCTGGGCCACCTCTTTCTCAGCCTGGGCATGGTCTACCTCCGGATCGGGTAAGGGCTGCCTGTGCCACCTCCGCGCGTGTCCAGGCGAAGTTGGCGCGGCCCGCGGAGGGAGGTGCGCCGCTCGCTAGCTGCTGCCAGCCATCAACTCGCTCAGCCTCTCCGAGAGGCCGGGTGGGCGCGGTGTGGGAGCGGTGGGTGCACAAAGGCGTCCCGCAGGCGGACGCCCCAGGAGGCGGGGGACCGGCCATCTGGAGAACCTCTGAATGTGGAAGCCCCCAGAACCTGAGACAGCCAGCAGGGACGCTCCAGCCTGGGGGACTCTGAGAGGGCCGGCTGCTGGCAAGGCTCAGCCTATCCCAAGGACCCTTCAGACGGGGCCTAGGGAGGGCAGGTCCAGCAGGAACACCAAGGCAGGACCGCAGCCGCTCCCACAGCGGAGTTCCCAGACCCAGAGAGGAACTCTGCGCACGGAGACTGCCGCTCCAAGAGAGGGGACAGTCCCCAGGTGGCAGGCGCAGCCGGTCCGTGCAGACAGGGAACAGGTACCCGGAGGGAGGGACATTTAGGGCAAAGGCTTAAACCGCCGCTCAGAGCCCTAGCACCACCCAGTTTCCAGGGACCCTCAGACTCCCAGAGCTCCTTCTCTGGCCAAGGGACAGCGCCTCCCACCCCCAACAAGCACACACAGAGGTAAGAGGAGAGACGGCCCGAGACTCCAGGGAGACAAGCTCGCGGAGCCAGCACCGAAGAGAGGCGCCCTGGGCACCCCGCCCTCTGGCACTGGGCACCAGAGGCTGCCAGGCGCCCGCAGAGCAGGCCTCAGGCGTCACCCCAGCATTTCTGGGGCGGTGGGGTCTGGGGGGCTCTGGCGGGGAGGTGGGAGGGGACGGCTTGGCGCGTCTCGGAGCTGCATTTGCGTGGCCAGTCACCCTTTGTACTTAGCAGATAATGCGTGTGAGGCACGGAGGGACGGGGGTGGGGGGCTCTAGGGATTGATAGAGGTTCTGGCGCTGAAGGGCCACCTTGGCAGGTTTCACACAATCTGCCCCTTCACCCCCCAGCACTGACCCCCCCGCTCCCCACCACCCCTTTTAAGGAGCGGGGGAACGCAGGGGCTGCAGCGAGGGAACGTGTGTGGCACATCTTTTGTGTTTTGCCACAGCTACCCCCAGCCTCCCACTTCCCCACCCGCGTGTCTGCGGCGGGGTCGCTTAAGCAGCGGAGCCGCGGCCAGCAGGTGCGCACCGAGGACCAGGCTGCCGCCAGCCCTGACCGCGGGCGGAGAGGCGACCGCGGGCAGAGAGGCGGCTGCGGGGCTCTGAGCTGCCAGCCTGCCGGCGTGTTTAAGTGTTATTGATTCGCCCGCGTCTGGGTGGCTTTTCTTTTGCCCTGCTTTAATCTTCATGTTGGCCCGCTCCCCGCCGACCCGCGCACATCCAGCATCCAGGAAGCCGGTCAGGCCGACTGGCTCTGGCCGCGTGCGGCTTTATCTCCTTTTTAATTAGAAACGGGGCGGAGGGGACGGGGAGGGCAGCGAGAAAGGGAAAACAGCAGAAAATAACCTTCCCTGGCCGCCCCGCCCGTCCTGGGCCACCTCCTGCCAGCGCCAGCCTCAGCGCGTTGGCCCTGAGGGCCTGGCTGCCTGGGGGAGGGAGGAAGGGAGCACGCAGGGCGCCAGCCTTCCGCCCCAGGGAGGGCCGGCCTGGGAGATGGGAGTTGCATGGTGACCTTGGTCTGGGCCCTACTGCTGCCTGAGCCCCAGGCTATTCATCTGTAAAATGGGCTGGAGGGAGAAGTCAGGAAGTCCCTAAGAGGTCTTAAAGTTCCCCAGATGTGACTGGCTCCTAGCAGCTTCTGGTTGACGGTGAGGCATCTGTACTATTCTTGTTTTATTTGAGTAGTTCAGGTGATTCCGGCACTAGCCCCTTGTAACAATCTGATCCAATAATAATCACAACAGCACCACATTTATTGAGTATTCACTACGTTCCTGGCACTTTCTAAGACTTTCCCTGTTGTAACACGCAAGTTTCACGGCATCCCAATGAACTGGGGACTAGTTAGCAATACCCTCCTTTTAGCAACTGGAAAACCGAAATCCAGAGAGGGAAGGGAACTTGCCTAAGGTCACACACCTAGAAAGTGAAGGCAGCTCAGATGGCAACCTAGGCCAGACTCTCAAGGTGTTAGACTATTGTTCCCCAGAATTCTGGGCCCCAATATACCATTACATTCTCTGCTGGTGTAAAGATTTCCTGCTGGTCAGCTAGGTGTTCAGAGGTTCCTCCTGACTTGTGGCAAAAAACGTCTCCACTCAGTCTTCCCACCACCCCTTCCTCGAACATTCCAAACATTCTGGCTGTGCAGTAGACTCTGTTTTAGTGGCTGAGGTGCGTGTGACAGAGCCAGGCTCCCCCACCTCTCATACCTGCAAGCTGAATGCCTTCCTCCAGGTCTCAATCTTTGCAAGCCTCAGTTTCCAGATGCTTCAAATAGACATGATGATTCCCGCCCTGCAGGGCCGTTGCATGGGCTGATGTTTGTGGCAGGATCCGCCATGCCACCTTGGCACATGGTAGGGATGCCCCAAAAGTCCACTGATGCATTTTATGCATATTTGGGGACACCTGCTAGTAACAGGTACTCACCCTGAGTGACATCCTTGAAGTGCCACAATCCATTCATTCAGGAGCCCTTTAGTGAGCCAGCAGTCAGCCTCCCTGCCCTCAGAGAGCGCATAGCCTCATGAGCAAGGCAGACGATAAACAAGTGAGCACTCCAGTTAAAAACAACACACACGTTAAAACATTTCAGAAGACCATTAATAACCAAGAGTATCAAGGAAACAGAACAGAGACTGTGATGGAAAGTTATCAGGGTGGGGAGGGCAGGGAGGTTCCCTTAGCTGGGGTGGTCAGGGAAGTGACCCTTAAGGTCACAGGAATGACAGCAAGAAGGCAAGCTGGTGATGATGAGGGATGAGAGCTTCCAGGGAGAGGGCCAGCCAGGACAAAGGGCCTACAGCTGGGAGAGGCTGGTGCGCGGCGGAACCCAGGGAAGCAGGGTAGGAGTGGTCAGGTGTGCGCGTGGAGGGCAGTGGGTCCACATCATCTCCAGGTGTCATTGACACAGGGGAGCTCAGCCCTGACAAATCCCAATTCCAGAACAGCTTCCCACAGCAGGGCCCCAGGGTGAGGTGCTTGCCCCGTGGCTAGCAGTGGCCCCCAGTAAATGGCAGCTCCTGTGATTATAACCAAAGTGAGGCATTAGGGGAGGGGTCTTCTCTTTAAAAGTTCTCTTGATGAACTTTTGGGGTTATCTTGATATTAGAAATGGCACCACCAGATGCCCAGGAGTGATGCTAGTGCCTCTGTTTCCCTTGCACCTTCCACATCCCTCCCCGACCCTGCCCATCCATCGGGCCATCAGCTCTACCTGTGCCATCCCCACCACTGCCACCAGGCCAAGCCACCACCGCTTCTAGTCTGCCTGGTCCCCTGCTCCTGCCCTGGCACCCCCAGTCCTTTCCCACATGGAGCAGGGGCCGTCGGATCACGTCAGTGTCCTGCTGACAGCCTTCAGTGATGCTGCCTGACACACCCGAGAACATTCCGGCCCTGAGCCGTGTCCTCTCCCTGGGCCCTCTCCCTTCTCAAGCCCCGGTTTCACATCAGCCTTCACAGTCTTTCTGTTCCTTGGACACTTCAAGCTTGTCCCCCTCCTAGAACTTTGCGTTTTCTGTTCCCTCTACCCAGAACACCCTTCCCCCCACTCCACCCCCACCCCAGGATCTTCCCCTGCCACCTCCTGGCCATTCAGGTCCCTGCTCCGCTGTCCCTGCCTCAGGAAAGTCCTCCCTGAATGTCCCAGCTAAAGCTGCTCCTCCCCACCGCCGCACCCTCAGCTGCCACCACAGCCTGTCCACTTTCATCACAGCGCGTGTCGCTGTCAGAAACAGCCTGTTCTATTCGTTTGTGACCCCTGCGTTGTCTCCCTCCATAGCGCCCCGAGGGCATTATCTGCCTCCCCGCCTGTCAGGCACACCTGTCCCCCAGCGCGGTGCCTGGCACGGGACAAGTGTCCCACAGTTATCTGTGCAGGGGACGAGTTGAGGAAGGTAGGAACTCTGGTCGGAATAGGCACACGCATCCTGTAGGCTGGTCACCTCCGCAGAGGGACACGTGTACTTCATGGGCAGGGGGAAGAAAACACCAAGACTTCTACTTACAATTACTTTTTAAGCTTTTTCATAACAAAACATATACTTACAAGAGAGTACGTACAACATACGAGAGCCAGTTTTTGTAAATAAACGTCTGTACCCCTCATAGGCAACTGCGGCATGGAAGTTTGAAGTCATCACCCTCTACTTGCTTTTAGTCTCACCACAGAGGGGGCTTCTAAGCAATAGTGGGTTTCTTTTGCATGTTTTTGAACTTCATCTCAATTGAATCGTACCACAAACTCAAGGAAACTTAATTGAGCGACTTGCTTTCTTCACTCAATATAAAGTTTGTAAAATACATCATCTTTTTGTAGTTTCTAAAAAGGAAATCAAGCTTTGCTAATATTGAATATATGCATTGATATAAGAGCCTACGTGGAATTTATCAATTTATAAATGAATATACATAGGCTGGGGGTGCAGGATCAAAAGAGTTGGGAGACTCTTGCTGGGGGAAGTGGGGTGGCCAGGGATGGACACCTAGGTAGGGTCTCTCTGCCATGCTGCGCACATTGCTGGCCTAACACTCCATTTCCCTGTGTCTCCCCCTACAGGGGCTTCTCCTCAGTGGTAGCTCTGGGCGCAAGCATCATCTGTAACAAGATCCCAGGCCTGGCTCCCAGACAGCGGGCGATCTGCCAGAGCCGGCCTGACGCCATCATCGTCATAGGAGAAGGCTCACAAATGGGCCTGGACGAGTGTCAGTTTCAGTTCCGCAATGGCCGCTGGAACTGCTCTGCACTGGGGGAGCGCACCGTCTTTGGAAAGGAGCTCAAAGTGGGTACGTGCTCACCCTAACACCCCAAGCAAGGTCTTAGAGGCTATGGGAAGACCAGAATACCCTTGGGAACTCCTGGGATCCCCTCACCTGCCCCCTGCTGGAACGTCCCTCCACATGGGATCCTGTAGGTGCCATGACTTGAATTCAGGTCTGCTGAGGAGGGTCAGGCCTCTCCTTTGAGTCCATACCACCCCAACTGGTAGAGCTGCAAAGCAGCACCCAATGGCCCCCAAAGCTAACCTGATGATATAGTGCCAATGTGTCTTAAGTTGAAGCCCAAATTTAAAAATCAGTTGTTTTACCTAAAAATATGAATTTCTGCCTTCTTTTGAAAAGTTAGCCAATCTACCAACAGTTTGCACATGTACCCACATGGTTGGAAAGGGCTGGAGCTGAGAACACAGCTTCCTTTAGGCAGAGCCTGGGTGACCCATTCACTGCCGCAGTCCCCACCCCCCCACGCTGCCCGGCCTGCACAATCCTGTTGCGTGATCCACTGGAGCCCTGTGGCTTTTGACGTTGCAGCCCCTGTTTCATGAGAGTGGTCTATGTGGTCTGTGTGGATGTACACACACAGACACACACATAGACCCAGAGTGTTGAGCCACACATTTGACTGCTGAAGCAATTTTGACAAAAGCTTGGTGGACGGGGGATGGGGAGAGTGATATTGGTCTCCCAGACGTCCTGGTCCGTGAGGGAAGGCCATGCTGCATGTCTCACTGTGTGCGTTGGGACTCGGGGCCAGGGACGGCAGGCTTGCTCCTGCACCATGAGCTTCCCTGCAAGTCAGGGCAGCCCCAGGTCTGTCTGGCCTGGGGAGGGTCACCTTCCCACATGGCTGCTCAAAGAGCACCCTTGTGTTCCCTCTGCCTCAGCCCGACATGAGCACGTCCAGTGGGATATTGCAAAGACCCGCCCCAAATCCAGCCCCTTCTCCGAAGGGTCACACTGCCTCCCCCCGCCCGGGCTGTCTCCTGCTCCCGCCACCTCCTCTCCTCGCAGCCGCCCCTAGTCATCCTGCAGACCCTTCTGCACCCAGCATGCAGGATCGTCCTTTTTAAATGCAAATCAAATTGGGTCATTACCCTGCTTAAAACCCTCTGGAGGCTTCCTCCCATCAGAAAGAAATCCCCATGACACTGCTCTCTGGCCTCTGCTGTCCCCACCTCCTCCCTTCTCCTTGCTCACTCGGCCTAGTCCTTTTCCCAAACACAGCACACTGGGTCCTGCTTTGGGGCCTGAGCACCGCACATTCCTTCTGCCTTAGCTCCTTTCCACAGCCTGCACCCCTGGCCCTAGACCTGCACCCCTCAGGTCTCCTAGAGCCTCCTTGATCCGCCCATCGAAAGTCCTCTCTTGCCTCAAAGCTGCATCCCACCCCATCCCAGCTGTCAGTGCTGTGCGCATCCACTCCCGACACACTGGGAGAGTCAGCTTCACGAGGGCAGGGGTTCTGTGCCCAAGCTCACCACTGAATGCTTTCTTCCCCATTCCCGGTTCTGCAGCAGGCCTGGTTTTGTCACCATATTCTGTAGGCACCTTCTTACTCACCCCTGAGCAAACTGCAGAACAGGACCCTAGGCTCAGGGCGAAGTTGCAGAGAGGGTGGTGTCCCCCTCTTACAGAGCCCTTGTCTGCGGGCGAGGCTTTTCTGGCATCTGTGCTGTGCACAGTTTGCCTTGTACCTCCTGCCCTTCTTCTCCCCTTCCCGACCCCAGGGATCACCTGTCAGGTGGAAAACTGAGGCCCAGAGAGAAGATGGGACTGCCCAGTTCCTGCAGTGAGATGGCATCATCACTGGCACTCTGATTTAGGATACCAACATCTCAGTCTTGTGAGCCTCTCCTGGCTTGTCTTGTCACATGCAGTTTTTCTGTACTCTCCTACTGAAATCTCTCTCTCTCTGTGTGTCTCTCTCTCTCTCTGTCTCTCTCTCCCTCTCTCTCTCGCACACACACACACATACACACACCCTATTCCTGGGACCCAGGTCTAGACTCTGAAATTATTTTAAACTTGTAGCTTTGCTGATATATGAGATGTTACAGATGGGGAAACTGAGGCTCAGAAGGGACTTGCCCAAAGTCAACAAATTTGAGTGCCAGGGTGTCCCAGGACTGGGTGCATTCCAGCACAACTTGCGCTCTTGGAGTAGCCAGTGCATTGGCTGGCATTAGACTAGTGCCCGTGGAGGGGCAGCAGGAGGGCTGCGGGCGCCAGGACCTGGGCAAAGAGCCCCTGCTGTCGAGCAGCCCCCAGCTGGCCATCGTTGTAGAATGCAGGCTGAAGAGGAGAAACACCGCCAGTTTCCACCAGGAAGGAGCTTGGGCATGGGGGAGTGGCGGTGGGGAATTCCAGCAAAGAGAGGAACCCAAGAAAACCCATGAGATAGTGATGCCAGGACAACCATCTGCAGGCCCGGAAAGGAGTGAGAGCTGGAGTCAGGAAGTGTGTGGGGTCAGCCTAAGGAGTTTGAATTTCTAGGCGGTGGAAGCTGTTGGAGGATTTTGCGCGTGGGCATGACTGCCAGAGGATCGGTGGAACCTGTGAAATTACTTCTATGTGATGAATTTGAGCCACAAAAATGGCAGAGTCATATTCCTAATAGGAATTCTGGAAAATTCATTAAAGGTTGCATATGAATTCATTCATTCATGATGTCATTCATTGATTCATTCACGCATTCACCAAATAGTTATTGGATGCCCGTTGTGGCTGGAAGCTGCTGTTCTAGCATGTGTGGCCAGGAAAGGCCTCTGGGTTTGTCAGGGAGGTGAGCTCTGGGCATGTCTGGTGGAAGAGCAGGCCAGGCAAGGGGAACAGTAATTGCAAAGGCCCTGAAACAGGAACGTGCTTGGTGGGCGGCTTGAGGAACAGCGAGGAGACAGGTGTGGCTGGAGTACGGTGAGCAGGGGAAGAGGAAGGCTCAGACAGCCAGGAGCTGGATGGTGCAGCATCTGCTGGGCCAGGTCAGGAGACATGAATGGGGAGCCCCTGGAGGGGTGAGCATAAGAGTGACAGCATCCAAATACAGATTTAGCAGCATCGCTCTGGCTGCTGGGAAGAGAATGAACTGCAGAGGGGACAGTGTGGGAGTCAGGTGTCTGGTTGGGTCTTCCAGGCAGGAGGTGACAGTGGCTTGGGCCTCAGTGCTGGCCGTGGAGGGCTGTTTCAGAAGCCAGCTGCCAGGATGAAGGGAAGCTGATGACCCACGGGCCAGCCAGGAAGGGGTTATCTTGGCCTGGGCTTCTAGGGTAGTGGCCGTGGGACCAGAGGGAGATGAGTCGAGAGATGAGACCCCGTCAGTCTGAGAAGTCACTTCCTTCTGAGCTTTGGTTTCCTCCTATGGAAACAGGTTTCCTGCTCCAGGGCACCTTTACAAGAAATAAGCCTCACATCCAGGGTCACGGGCTCCTCACTAGTGCTCTCAGCCCTGACCAGCTAACAAGTACCGCCTCTTAGGGTGAGGATCAGGGGTGTGGTCTTTGGCTTTTGGAGCCCTGGCCCTCAAGTCCTGACTTTGCCCAACAGAACCCACCAGCTGCCTTTGAAGAGACTCCCAGAAGCTCCACTCCACACTTCCACTTACATCTCATTGGCCAAAACCTAGTCACATGACCACACCTAGCTGCAGGGTATGCTGGGAAATGTAGTCTTTTGTTCAGAGCAGCCTGAGAGCAGCTAAGGCTCTGGAACTGAGGAGGAAGGGCTCTCCATCCCATGCAGAGACCTGAAGTCTCGCCCTCCAGCCCCGCCTCACCCTCCGGTCAGGTCTCCAGCTCTGCCTGTGCTTGGTGGCCCTGTCTCCCCTCTGAGTGTTCCGATTTTCCTGCATAGATCTGAGGAGCAGGCCATGGGCAAGCAGTGGGCAAGGCCCCCTTGGATGCCAGAAACTGACACCCAGTTCAAGGTGTGCCAGGTTAACGGGGGACTGTATGGCTGCCTGAGGAACCGGGAAGCCAGGGGGTGGTTCGGGCTTTTGGGATGGTCTGGCCCAGAGGCAGTGCTGGCTTCCACCAGCCCCAGGGCCACCTCTTGGGGCAGCAGGATGGCAGTCACAGGTCCAGGGCTACTTCCAGGTTCAAGTCCCCCCAGAAAGAGCCTTAGCCTTTCCCCAGCAGTGCCTGAAAAAGTCCTGAGGTTCACTCTGATGGGACCAGCTAATGGGGGTTGACTTTTGGTGGTGTGTCCATCCCAAACCCATCGCAGTGGCCAAGGGCAACAGTGCTTTTCTGGTCTGGCCTGGATGCCCCACCCAGGCCATCTCTCAGGGGAGAGGACTGGTCTAGGGTATGCTCATCTGCTGGGGCTGTCCTAACAAAATACCACGGATTGGGTGGCTTCAGCAACAGAAATGTATGTCTGGCAGCTCTGGAGGGGAGAAGTCTGAGATGGAGGTGTGGGCAGGTTGGTTTCTCCTGAGGCCTCTCTCTTTGATTTGCATGTGGCTGCCTTCTGTCCATGTCCCCATGTGGCCTTTCCGTTGTGCGTGTGCTCCTGGTGTCTCTTATGTCCTGTCTCCTTTTTTACAAGTATACAAGTCACACAGGATTAGGGCCCACGTTAACAGTCTCATTTTAACTTAATCACCTCTTTGAAGTTCCCAGCTCCAAATACAGTCACATTCTGAGGTACTGGGGTTAGGACCACAACATGTGAATTTTGGGGGGACACAACTCAGTCCATAGCAATGAACAACCAGGCAGCAGCATGGTCCGAGCTTTAGGGAAAGGCGTCTGGGGTGTGGTGGGTGACAGCAGGTGAGCCCCCAAGGTGGAAGGAGAGGTGTGATGGTGGAGATGGCCTTGACCTGGGTCCTGATGGGTGGAAAGATATTCACAGTCAGTGAATGGGACCCCAGGCAGAGGGACAGCAGGGCAAAGACATGGGCCTGTGGGAGATAGGGGTGGTGAACAGGGGTCTGCACCCTCGGGGACCAGGGGTGGGAGAGCGCCAGGTGAGATGGCAGGCCAGCCATCAAGAGTCTCGAATGCCAG